GGAATCAGCACCAGCAGCTAGCAACACTCTAGCCATCATCAGGTTGGAGCGGATACTTGCATTATAGAGAGGAGTTCGACCATCAACACTGGTGGAGTTTACTGCACAAACGGCCTATAGGAGATTGATTTAATATCAAATATTATATAATATCATTTCACATGTTTTTTTCTTTCATGTTACTGATGGCGTGGACGGTCTACTGTTACTTAAAAAAAAAGATTAAAGAATTAAGAAACAAACAAACAAACAAATCATCTTAAATAAATAAATAAATAAATAAATAAATAAATAAATAAATAAATAGAAAAAAGAAAAGATGTGTGGAATGAGACATAATATAAAACTTTGCATTCTGTTCATTCTCTTTTGATTAATTAATTAATCATTATTATTGATTAGTACTATTTATTTTATTTTCTGATTTTTTTATATTTCTTTTTTGCTTGTTTAAATTAATTTATTATCAACCTACATGATTAACTTAAATCTAACTGAAAATACCCTGTATGCATTTGAAAATATCCCCAAGTCATATTTTCCATGTCTACATATTTTGCAAAGCTAAATCAGCTAATTAAGAATGGCATTAATCATTGAATCTGAGTACAGGGACGAGATGAGATTTTTGCTTTTTGAGTGTAGCAAAAAAAAAAAAATATATATATATATATATTTTGTCCCTTAGTGAGCAGAAGACCCCACCCCACCCACCCCAAATAAGGATAATCCGATCAAATCAACTATAATGGCAAAGTCTATTGATAAATTACCTGTAAAAGCAGTTGCACCTGCTCTAAGGTCCCAAACTTGGTGGCCTTATGGATATCCCAGTCTTGCCATTGTAAATCCATCCTCTTGCCTTGGAGGCCTCTTCAATGTCAACATCAACTGGAGAATCAAACTATAGCCTGTGATTTCAAAGCCCAAGGGGGATGTTTCTTTAATTATCTAAATATAGTATTTTTATCGTGAAACTTTGCTACTAGCGAGTTAAATGAAAAAAATCTTTATACAACCTTCACTACCTCTAGGACACTGTATATTTCTTGGAATTTAGTATGAGTGAGTCTCTCTCTCTCTACCTACTTGCCACGGGTTGTGCCTCTCTTGCAACCTTCACCTCTAAAAAGGAGGTAAACTATACATCGATACTAATTGGCTACATGGACGGCACGGCGGTGTTAAAACACCACCTCAAGCATGAATTGTGTACTACACGCCCTGCCTATCGAGAAGGAAGAGATCTAAAGGCTGTAAAGGTAAGAACTCGGGATAAATTTATGAATAAACCACTTTACTGTGGATATGCGTAACATTTTAAAATCCAGTTTGCCCGCACGTACGTGAATCTCAGTTTGTCCGAGTTTTCAAATTCTGTGCGGGTGCTGTATTGATAGTCCTAGACCCCATTTCCATAGATTTTAGATCGATCTATCCCTGAGGGGAGTCTCACTAGATTACTTTCATCTTAGCCGGCTTAAGCGTCTGTCCCGCCTACTGAAAGCTGCCATTATATGGTGATATGCCCCTGTTATGCTCTACTGAGAGCCTTCTATTTTCGGCCTTCTATTTTAACCAGGTTAGAGATATACTTGGCAGTGCAGCCCCTGAGTCCATCAGTGAACTTTTTATTAACATACTGCAATGTAATGATTTTGATATCGCAAAATGCACAACTGATTTTCTTTATGATTGTTTCAAAGCTAGGGATATGAAAATTGCATCCATGCTGAATAAAACCTAGATTAACTGAAGATGCAGTTTTCATATCCCCCTAAATAATAGTTAGTTTAATATAAGGTTTAGTGTAGCCTAATCTAGTTGAATCAGTTTTTTTTTCTTTTCTTTTTTTTTTTTGTTATCCCTATATTGCTTTATATTGTGTAGTACTTGTACTTTCCCTGCATTAGTCTAGACATTATATAATGTATATCAAACTGTTTATGGTAATCACTTTGCGGATTACTTCTTGTATTTGTATTTGATCATGCCCGGATGTTACCCTCTACCAGGGCGACTGATAGATTTTTACGGATATTCACAGATATGTCTCTAGCTAGATAGATTGTCATTTTAACTCTAAGTCAACCTTGAGATTTCTGTACAGGGTGACTTAGAGTTAAATTAAAATGACAATCTATCTAGCTAGAGACATATCTGTGAATATCCATAAAAATCTATCAGTCGCCCTGGTTGAGGGTACCCGGATGTAGGGCGATTGTCAATAAACCTCTGATTCTGTAAGGGGGTAATTAACTATGGTGCACTCTCAGCTGACTGCAATTTAGCGTGAACCCCCAGGGAGTTAGGTCGATCTAAATCTAAATTTCTAGATCGATCTAATTCTCTGGGAATACACCCCTGGCCTCTACTAGCATGTACAACAAATTATCTTTCTCTGACACCATAAAAATACTGAATACCTATGAGCAGGATATTCGATGTACTTGACTTGACGCTGAGAAAAAAAAACATTATTATCATTATTATTATTATTATTATTATTATTATTCCACCATTCCCAGGTATACAGTGTAGCTCAGGAGTCCCAGTATCTCCTAGTTCAGGGAGTACCAGCTGTGGGGGCCTCTGCAGAGCTGATCAAACTGTTTGCTTTATATGGGGAAATCTTGGAGTACAGAATTCTGGACCAGTATCCCACAGATGACAACTACACAGAGATTTACTGGATAAAATATAAGAAGATACAGTCTGCAAGGTGGGTCTGGGTGACTGGAATTTTTTTCTTTAATTCTGTATTAATTTACTCATAGATTATGTAAGCACAGCCAATGCGTTTTATGGTATATCTAGATTTTTCTGAATTGTCAGATGTTGCTTTGATAATTTGTAATAAATATACTATTTTTGGTTAAGTTACTAGTAGATTATTTACTTGGCATACTGGACATTTTTGATAAAACTAAGACCATAGTTTTAAACTTTCATATATAACTGAAGTAACTGTCTTGGATATAAGGTATCAAACATTATGCCTTAAAATATTGAATTCAATATGGATTTAATTGATATAACTTTAGAGATCTTTAAATCAACTAATAGAAGTGTTCCTTTGTGTCAGTATTGGCTTTATAGCCTTCTAGAATTTTATACAGTGTACTGTGAACAGCAGATGTTTGACACTTGTTGTTAACATTCACTTTCCAGGTTTGCCAAGAAGAAGCTAGACGACTATGCCTTCTTTGGAGGTGCACTTCACATCTGTTATGCCCCAGAATACGAGTCTGTCCAGGAAACCAAGGACAAGCTGCGGGAACGCAGAAGGGAGGTAGCAGTGAGGCTAAGAAAACTTAGTAAGTGGTACTAAGACTAAAAAATGATATAAGTTTAGTATGTGGCTATAATAACTCAAGATTCTGAAGTGATGATAGCTTGGCTAAAATTTGCTAAGTGGTTTTGAGGCTTAATAATTCAGTCATTGGCAGAGAGGCCAAAAGTCTCAATTGCTATAAATTGAAAATTAATAGAATAACTATTTATGTATTAATAAAACATAACTTATACCAGGCCAGCGCTTCGAACAATAGGATAATTGCACTTGTATTTCACATACAGGTTTACCTGTATTTTTATAGGCTTCGATGTGTTCATTCTGTTGTTTGATTGAAGTAATTTGAAATTTAGGTGTGGAAGTCTAAGAATGAATTTCTTTAGTTCTAGATATATGGGATTTTTAGTGCTGCCGTATTTTATTAATTTCTTGATCTATGTGTCATCCTTTTATGTTTACCCATTATATCTTATTTCAGAAGAGGCAAGTAGTTCCCAGTCTTCATTAGTGTCTGAGACAGCTGCAGGACACAGCTCTTCCATACCCCAGACCATAGCCACTGATACAGCCCCTGGGTCATCCAGGCCAGGGCTGGACAACACTGGACATCAGCACTGGTCAGACACTGGACATCAACACATCTCAAACAGTGGACAGAGGCCAAGGACTGACCACCACCATCATCAACACCACACACAGAAACAACAGGATCTCCAACATGAAACACCCATGTACAACACCCCACCCCCACCACCCCCTCCTTTCCTTCCACCCCCACCCCTACCTCAGCCACACCCACCCTGGGGACCCACCCACCACCATCCGGGGTATCACCCCCACACACCGTATCCCAGCATGCACCCAGAGGGGCAGTATGGGTGGGGGGTTCCAGGACTTCACCCCCAGCCTCAGGGTACACCAGCAGGACCCCCGGGTCACTTGACCCCTGGGCATCATCCTGTGGTCACTTCCCATGGACATGCTGGTTATAGTACAGGAAGTGACCAACAGGGGGCGTTAGGAGGGACAAATCTCAGAAACCGGAATAATGCCATGAAGCAGGATTTGACAGAAAAATTGCATGGTGACAAACAAAGCTCTGTTAATAAAAGTCATAATAATTCTCTGTCACGTGGTGGACCTACACAACCAGTTGTAGATAGAAACATGACATCAGGAGACATTGTTGTCAAAGATTTCAAACGCAAGAACCAGACAGCACCTAAGTTTATCCCTAGACAGGCTTTACAAAAGATTCAAAAACAGAACGAAACCAAAGAATTCTCAAATACGGACAGAGATCCCTTAAATGAAGACTTACGGAGGAATGCATGTATTCTTGGAGATGTTAAAGGTCCTGCAGTAAAACCTGGAGAGGAGAGGAAGGCGATGGAGGAAGAAGAAAAATCTGTTGATAACACTGTGAAACAAATCAGGGGAAAAGTGAAAAGTGTAGGTGAAAATAATTGAGATTGTGAACAGAACAAAGTTTGTGACAGTTTGGAGTTTTTGTTAAGCAGAGCAGAGTTAATTATTGTTTGCATTTTTTTTTTTTGTTTGACTTACTTAGATTTGACTAAAGAACTGTTTCAAAAGTCAGTGAAATAATTGTAACCATATTCAGGTTTTTTAATCAACCAACAGTTCATCAGCTTTTATTTTTTTAGTTAAAATGCTAATATATTGTGAAATATAGAATGTATTATCAGTAGTAACATTTTGGTTTCTTTCACCTTCCAGTTTTCAACAACTTTGCCCTTACCAATTCCAAAGAAGAAAAGAAAAACAGAATCAGGCAGCTGACGATGAGACACTGCTTGAAGAATGCCAAGAACACAAAAAGACACAAAAAAAGATTCTGTCGCTTCAGCTTACCTAAACAGGGGAAAGTGCCTTCATTAGTTGATAAAGTATCACCCCTCACAGGTGTTTTGTCTCTGTAAAGTTAACATTTTTTCACCATCCTTTCTTAAGAGACAATGAAAAACTCATTTCACAGTTATGTGGATTGTGTTTGTTATGATACTATGTCTGATAATTAAACTACTCAGTGTCAATACACAGACAGGGCAGAGATGTAGTGGTGATTGTGGTTGTTGTGCTGTCGGATTTGTCTCATCTAACACAATTTTAATTGAGGACCAGATTAATCAATGCACTGCCCTCAGCACAGAACTTGGAAGGTTAAATATTGATGTTTTTGCCTTGGTGTATAAAAGTCCTCTAGCTGACATGAAACATCTTTAGTGTTTGATCCTATTAGTAAATAGTGTGACAGTGACGATTTCAAATATATTCGAAGTAAATGATAAGGACTCCTTTTGTTTAATGGAGGGAGAGTGAAAGTAAGAGTGAGAAAGAGTAAAATAAGGAGATATTGGTAATTTAAAAAAAATTAAACCACAGAACTAAAGCGCAGTTATATTTACATGTAAAATTTATTACTGTAACAACTTGTTTTCAGTGTTGATGACATTAACAGTACATACTATATGTTTATATTTAACATAAAAACAAGTTGGCAAACTTACAGATGACAATGATGACTTATTTACAAAATGAGCCATGAAATTATTACTCCTACACCAAGAAATACTGTGTACATGATGCGTACGTGACAACAAGGTCTTTGAGCAGATTTTCCAGATGTGAAATAGGTTCAAAAATGAATGATTGCTTTTCTGCTTTCACAAATTGAAAGTTTCATCAAAGGCACTGTTTAGATGTAAACCAGAAAAATAATAATACTTTTAGGGAGTTATAACAAATAATCCTTCCATTTTCAATTCAGTAACACACGTAACAAAAGCTACAGTCTTTGAAAAGATTGCTTTTTCATATACACTTGATTTCGTGGAAGTTTATAAATACTGAAATTAGAAAAAAATGTCCCACTTAATTTGCAATGTAGATGACTTTGTGCTTTTCTATTGTTTCAATGTCTCTTTCTAACTGCTTCATCTCCGCCTCCATGCGCTCTTTGCGGTTCTTCTTGGGCACGGTATCTGTGACAACAGACAGCCCCTGATATTGATGGTGAATCTCCTCCCAGTTTGCTTTGAGTCCCGCAAGAATGACTTGTCTCTCGGCCTCGGAGAGCTGCTTCATGGCCCCACGACGGAAGTGCTCAGCAATGTAAGCTTCATACTCTTCCTGTGCTCTAATCACCTCCTTGTTACGCTTCACAAGATATCCTGGTGTCTGACCAAAATCCTGGTAACATAAAATACATATTTTAATTATTGAAATTGAACTTCTTTATATTTTTATTTAGTTTTCTTAATAATTTTTCACATATCAATTTCTTTTAAAACAGACAAATTATATGTGCTATGTTGCCTTTTAATTCAATAGTTCAACATAAGTTTCTTCAATAATAAAATGAGGAAGCGTTTTTTGTCAACAAATCACCCTATAAATTAAAATATATACCATGAAATTTTCCCTTATAGTACAACTGCAATTTTCCGTATTAAAAAAAAAAAAAAAAAAAAAAAAAACATTTGGATTGAACAAGAATAAATATATATATATATTTATTCTTGTTCAATCCAAATGTCCAAACTGCAAACCATCCTTACCTTCTTGTGGATAAACTTAGGCTCCAGTCCCGAGGGGTCAAGCGGCCACTTATCTCCTCCCCTGGTGTCCACAAAGTTCTTGTCTGGCTTCTTAGGGACAGACATGATGTTCCCTACTGCGTTATTGGTGATGAAGTTCTTCGTTGTCCTCAGTCCCATGAGAGGTTTGTCCTCTTTGTGTGGAACTGGTGGCCTGCGTCTGTCTGCGTCTGGGTACGTGAAGGGTTCACCCGCAAACACGTGCTCTCCTAGGAAGAACGAGATTGGATATTGTAAAGGTTTGATAATATATACATATTCTGATGACATTATGTTACATACATTGACTTGACAGGCACCAAAGTGTAACCAAAATTGTAACTCACATTTAGCTATGATTATAGGAGTCACACACTAAGGGGCTGTTTAAAAATGTTTAAATAAAATAAAATAGAAAAGTGTACTTAAATATATGTTAAAATAATTTTACACTGATTCATAAGAGAAATAAATTTAGAAAATAAATAAAGGGGATATATATTGAAGCTAAGTATAAATCAAAGCAGTTAGTGTACTAGACAAAGATCAATGTTGTATTTTGACACTTACTAGGGGGTAATTTTGGCTCCTTGGAATGTTTCTTAAGGAAGTTATCAGTGGTTGGCACAGGAACCTTGGCCTGCCCCATTGTCTTGTAACCCGACTTCCCTTCTTGTCTTTCTTCTCGAGCCATTTGCTTGAACTTTGACGTATACCTAAATAAAGTAAGAAACACTGATAAACTGTTTACCTTTACTCAAAACATTAAAATCATTAAAATAAAAACATCAGTTTACAACTTGTCAACTATATTTTCCCCCCTATTTTCACATTTTAATGGAATTTTTAATATCCCCTGCAATGTTTGGCGGCTGCACTTATAGATACAAAACAGACGCATATGTTAATATTAAATATCAGTATGATAATATCATAAGATGGCTTGTTTGAAAAATTCTTCAAAAAGGGTGAAAATTCTAGATCTTATAACTTACCTTGCTGGTTTTGGAGGCTTTACCTCCTCTCTAGGAATCAAATTGTAGATATTCTCCTCTTGCAACATCTTGAAATCTTAGTAAAATTGCACCAAACACAACAAATAACAATCCTGACGGTCCGTCAGCTGTGAAACCTGCAGTATAATGTGAAATCAACGTGGAACACAGCAGAACAATACGACCTCCAAACAAATAGACGTCTCCTAGGAGACGGGACCCGGATGTGGAATACTGGACACTAGAGGGCCAAGACAATCCTAGTTATAACACACGTTAGCATTGCAATGACCCTTTTTGGAAATAGCGAGTACAATGATTGTTTTGATATTAAACGATAATTTGATTGCTCTATGTTTTTGTAACTTGTGTAAACATTTATGCTTCACTTTAAATCTGACTTTCTTGAACTTCCTGAGACCCACTGCGCATGCCTGAGAGGTCAGAGAGGTCAACTAAATGAAAGCAAGCATGGCTGGGAATGACTGTGTAGTGGTAAGTGCCAATGTCACAACATGTTTAACAGACTTTCATTGGAAAATATTAACCAAAAATTAGAATCTAAATACTATTTCAGATATAATCTGTGCGTGTACTTGTTCAAAACATTTAGTTGATTTAAAGACTATCTAATTTCACTAATCAATGAATCGGTGACAGCTAAGTTGAAACTGGGGTGGAACCAGTCCTCAAGCCCAGCTTGCCTCTGTTGTTCGCCAAAAAAGAATCGATGAGCGACAGAGGCAAGCTGATAATAGGGATTATTTATTAGTGCACTTCCAAGCTCAGGTAAGAGTCGAGCGATAAGCCAAGAGATCTGTGCTCCAAGTGTAGTGATAAAAAAGTGTCATTCGAGTACGTTTTGACGTACGATAATGTCATTGAGTCTACTAAAGTCACTCGGTGCTAAGTACTACTGCTAAGTATTACATTACTTTTGTGTCTGTCAGATCACATATTGTAGGCTTTTGTCTGATGGTGTATTTAACTGCTTTCTTTCAGGAGTTTTTGAACTGTTGGCGATTTACTAGTATTTATTTACAATTATTTATTTGATTGTTAATTTATTTGTAATATACTGAGTAAACTTTAATAAAGATATCCTGATTTAGCCATTATTTAGTATCATCATACACGTAATCATGGTGCATAAATACACAAAATCGAACTTTAGAGATGCATATATAGAGTGTGAAGTGATCATAAACTGACTGTACCCAAGCTCTCCAGGAAATATAAGTAAACGTTAGAAACAGCAGCATCTGTGTAGATTTTCCAACTACTGAGATGCTAGTACAAAGAGACTCTGCAATGCAGGGTGACTGTACCTATTATAGTGAGGTATTTTGAGGTGTTTTTAACTATCAGCTAAAGGAAATACATTCTGAAAACCCTAATCCATCATTCTGTTTGTATTGAGTATACATACATATTTGAGAATTATTATAGTGTGATATGATACGTACTCCCCTTCTCATACCCTTATATTACCCACATCCCTCCCAACCACCCCTCTGGCATTCTCTCACATGCCACCCCAGCCAGTCCTTCCCAACTCCCCCCGCATTCTCCAACAAGCCCCCCCCCCACACACACACACACACACACACAAACACACACACACATCATCGTTCTAGATAAATTAATATAATATTATGTGAACCCTAGCACTGGGCCATGTATGATATAAGAAGGTAATTTCTGACTTTTACCGTGATTCAGTACAGTTTTGAACTTTGTATTGGTGACATTTACTTTAAGACTTTCATACTATAAAAGTATGTGTTTGAGAACTTTACTGCAGTCCTACTTTTCCTAGACATAACAACATACAGTTGATAGTTTGTGAGCAAAAATCTGCTTGGATTCAAATTTGTATTCCTGTCTGTTTGTATTACTCTGTTTATGATCTGTGGAATTTTCTGCAACCTGCTTTCATTATTGTACAAATTAAATTTTAACCTCAGACTAAGCTCATAACTGAAGCTCGAGATAAACACTGCACGTTTGACGTAATATTTGTTGACTTTTCAAAGATAAGTGCAGATAGCATAGTTGTACTTACAACATATTGAATCGTGCAGTTGCAAATAAAGGTGCCCCTGATTCCTGATGTCGTAATGCAAGTTGACAAAGTGTAGCTCAGGTATTCCCAGGCAGAGTGCACTTGAGAACTTTTGTCTGATAATTGGTCTTAGCTTATAGACCAGGACTTTGTCTGCTTTCCATGTGTTATTACCACCTTGCACTTTTTGTGCTCTTGTTTATTAATAGATCAACCTCTTATAATTAATAGATTGATTAATTAAGTAATTGATTAATGACTATAATTAATACACAAGAGACAGATGCAAAAGACAGATTTCAGTGCTTCTTTTTTCTTGGGGGGTCTATTTATGTATTTCATTTATTTCTCTGTTTAGATCTTAGATAACTGGCACTGTTACAATTTGAACTGTCCTGTCAATTTTTCTTTGTATTTATTTCTACATTTTATTGTAGATCCCTGACGACTGGCAGGGTTACAAGCTGGACCTGTTCTGTATCCCCAAACACTATGAAGATGATCTGGAGGATATTATGATTCCTTCAGGACTTATAGATGACAGGTGATTGAATTACAGTTACAATATATATATATATATATATATATATATATATATATATATATATATAAGTGATTGAGGGAATATTGGCAAAAATCTGT